GTAACACTTACGCAAAAAATAACGAGCTATATAGAACTGATTTTAGTTAATGAGTTTACTTACCAGTATTCAATATCTACACGGTAGTAAAGTGAAACATAAAACCGTACTTGTTGTATATTACTACTTGAAATGATTTATACCACCCACAGAACTATATTTAGGATACCAAACGAAGGTTATAAAATACGTTTAAAGCTATAATTCAGTACTTAAAGTACCGTATTAACGAGGCAATACGACTTTCGATTACGCTTATTTTATAGGGAAGTGTACAGTAAATCTCTTACGTATATTATTCCAGTAATATTTATGTTACTTGTGTAGTTATAAAAGCAGTAGTTTTTTGTTGCATTGCATACATAAAAAATATTTTAAATATGGAATATTCTTATATTATGGCGAGATTAGAGAAGCGCGAAGAACGTCATTAAAAATACCATTTGTAATAAGCATTTAGTATATAAAGAAAATTCGGGAAATGTTGGAAACATTAAATTTCTAAATATTTCATTCCAACGCTTGAGGTTTTCGTTGAATGCTGTACGGTGGTACAACATTCCTTGGTGTAAAGAAAACCTTTTGGCAGAATCTTTAAAACTGGAAGGAATAATTACTGACACGTGTAGGAAAACATTAAATGTTTTTAACGTTTGTTACGTAGAGTTTTGTATTTGTTGAATATATATGTGTAATGCTAGATAGAAATGAACAATGGAATGGGACGGTTTATGGAAATGTAAAATATAAACTGTTAAAATTTTACAAGTAGCAATAAGTAAAACGTGAATTTTAAACTAGAAAGATTTTTGATACTGAAATAAAACGTAAGTCGTTTTCAATGTTTTCCAAATAACAGGCTTAATTTGATAAAGTATATTTTTAATTATCAGGTTCATCCAAGGGTGTTACATAGTGTATTTATAGTTATTTAAAAATATAATGGAAATTCTAAAATATTTTATTTTGTGAGAGGGAAAAACATACAAAAACGATAAAACTATTTAGTTCGAAAGGATCCAGAAGGTGGACTCTCTCTTTTTTTATCAAGAACAAAAATATAAAATAAAGGCGGAAGTGCGCCAGAGAATTTTAAGATCGTTTCTGTCGAACGAGGAAGTAACAGAGAAAACAAAATAAGACACCCGTCAAGTTGTGTGATGTATGAGCTTGTTCAGCAGAGAGAGAGAGCATTACAGGTGAACAATGAGAAAACATGTAAAGTATAATTTAAAAGTATAACTAATGATGTAATGTAATGAATTATTAATATCGTAAAATATATATCATTTAATATACGAGAAAACTTTGAAAATATGTACATGAACTAAACGAACTAAGAGAATACATGTTTCTACACATTTGTCATTAGCTCGAAAAAATACTAAAATACTTAGAAGAACGCTAATGCTTTATATCAGGGTTTCTCAAAGTTGGTTCCTCGATGGTACACAAGAGGGTTCGCGAGTCATGTTCGAAATTTCATAAAAGTACTTTAAAAATGAGATTTATAGAATAAAAATATTTTTCGTAAAATGAAATCTATATGAATTAAAACTTTTAATTTTGGAATACAGCTTTTCGTGTACACGAAATCTTATTTTTCAAAACAAGATGTTTTTCGCAGGCCCCCAAATCTACCGATATTTTAAATTAAAAGGGGTCTTCGGGTTACTAACGTTTGAGAACCGTTGCTTTATATGCTTGGGTTTTCACGTGTTTACTAGCTAAATGCAACGACTTCAAATTCGCGTGAATTTACATAAAGTTTTAATCCTCGGACGTAATTTGTAGTTTACAGTGATCAGGTGTTTTGTTTTACATGCTGGTCTGCCATTACCTACAAATTGATGTCTATCAAGGGATACCGGTTATTGATTTCTAACGCGTCCCAGTGGCAAAGCGGTATGTCTGCGGACTTACAACGCTAGAAACTGGGTTTCGATACCCGCGGTGGGTAGAGCACAGATAGCCCACTGTGTAGCTTTGTGCTTACTTCAAACAATCTTTATTGGTATCTACCATTTCCGGTAGATGTCTACCGCGTGTTTTATTGGTCTCTACCATTTCCGGCAGAAGTCTACCGCGTGTTTTATTGGTTTCTACCATTTCCGGCAGAAGTCTACCGCGTGTTTTATTGGTTTCTACCATTTCCGGCAGAAGTCTACCGCATGTTTTATTGGTTTCTACCATTTCCGGTAGATGTTTACCGCGTGTTTTATTGGTCTCTACCATTTCCGGCAGAAGTCTACCGCGTGTTTTATTGGTTTCTACCATTTCCGGTAGATGTCTACCGCGTGTTTTATTGGTCTCTACCATCTCCGGTAGATGTCTATCGCGTGTTTTACTGAGCTCCACTATTTCCGGTAGAAGTCTACCGCGTGTTCTATCGGGCTCTGCCATTTCCGGTAGAAGTCTACCGCGTGTTTTATTGGGCTCCTCTTCTACCAGAATACTCTACTGTCTCCCAGACTTCAAAGAAAAAGTCAGAAGAAATATAATGACGCCCACTGTCATGATCGATACAATAAATATCTACAAATTATTATTGCCCAAAATATACATAAATGAACATAATGATAAGAAGCTTAAGGGTTTTCAATTCACCGATTAAAGATTAACAATTTTACCTGGAAAGTTGTGTATATCTGTGATCAGTCAAGTAGGAAGAGCTGGAGATGATTGCAAAGATATAGTAGAATGGGCAACATTTATCAACCATAAAGAAATGTATAATCTACTCAAGAGTACAACAAATTTATATTTTTCACCATCCTCGCTGGTTTTTGGAGTCGAATTGCTACTCTCTGGTTTTTCTTATTGTTGTTTTTCATTTCTACCGCGTCGTTTTTTTTTTTTGTTGTTGTTGTTGTTTTGTTTTGTTTCCCCTTTTGAGACCAAACAAAACTTAGCCAGTAAATTAAAGTAAAACTAAATGAACAACAAGTGGCGTTTCGCTACTATATCGTTTTTGTGTGGTTGCAAGAAAGATGGAACTTGATACAGCCATTGTATTAATGTTTTAATTGATTTTTAATGTATTAATTGATACCAGTAGTGAGAGTTGGCAGATCTGAAAAATGCTGAAATAGATAGTATTGCAATGTAAGCTGGCAAAAATTAGGTTAACTTTTATGAGTAAAATCCAACCCAACAGTTCTTTGAGATCATTTCTGGTAAGGAGATAACAAAATTCTTCACTCTGGGAAGACTGGTAATACTGTAATTTGTACAGAGTTAGTAGAGCACGTTTACTAACTAGTAAAATATAGAAATTCACAACCAATGGTGTACGTGGTCTGAAATTAGCGTGAAGGGCTCGGTATTGAACGGTGAACTTGACTTTGCATGCTAACAGTTGATGCAACTCAAATCCAAGTTCTTGCCAATCCTTTTGATCGATCAGTTTGCTTATCAGTTTAATCATGCAGTGTTGGGTATGATATATACTTAACAACAGTTCGCTACTACAGCGGTTTTCTTGGAATAAATGGAAAAACTATAACTGAAACAACGTTGAAGTGAGACACGGTTTGGTGCTGGGGTACAGCTCTGGATTTCGGATTTGGTGAGCCAGGTTTGAATCCTTGTTATACAACAAAATATTCTCCGCGCTCTAAGCTGTGGATGCTTTATAAGAGTGACAGTCAGTCCACTAAGCCAAGACGCGAGATGTATGCTTTTAACCTTGTTTTAATAATACGCTGTTATTGCACCGTAGGACTAAAAATATTTTTTTCAACGACATTCACTCAACGTGATAATGAATCGAAATACTGGCAGGACTTCAGATGAGAACAACTCGACAGTCGCCTAAAACTCACACTCTGCACGTCATATCCGAGAAACGTGTGTGTTTACTTTTCGTGTCCTCTAAATTTAACCGTTATTTTACGGAAGGAATTACAAAAACTGACTAAATTAAAACAAAATCTGGGTTAGCAGTAAGAGGATTGACATACGGCTGAAGTGTATATAGTTGCAACAGCCCACCTGCACTATTAAATACTGGAATGTTAAAGAGATCTTAAAGACAAAAATTTCAGCTTTCACTTGGATGCGCTCCTTCTAGATCAGCAAAATTTACGCAATTGTTTCCTTGCCGTTCCTGGCAGCGTATCTAAGTAATACTGGTAAGTATCATCTACCCAATATATTTTTTTTTGCTTTATATGACATGTACATGAGCAGAAGTTAAATCAAGAACCTTTTATCTTAAATTATCTTAGTACAATTTTGAATGAAGCTCTGTTAATTTTCGTTCATTTCCTGGTAAGTAGTTCATAAGCTCTGTGGTTAAAACGTAATGCACGTTTAAAAAAAAATCATAAACTATGATGGACGAAATAAAACTTTACGGTTTCTAAGCGTGTTGTCAAATTCTAACAAATCGTTGTATTAATGTTTAGTCCCTCGATGGGTCAGTGGTAAGTTTACGTACTTACAACGCTAAAATCTGGCCTGAACAGAGCACAGACAGCTAATTGTGTAGCCTTGTGTTAAAAAACAACAAACATATTAATGAATGCCATTTGTCTCTGTCGGATGTCATACGCTGCTTAATATATCGGGAGTCTACAAATTGTCGAACTAATGTTTGATGTGGGAATGTCTGGAGTTGTAGGCGTTTTCCATAAGGTAGAAGCACGGTCGCCAGGCAACACATTCCGTTACACGTGGGTACACTATAACGCAGTAGCAACGTGTGCTTGCCTTCTATTGGTTGGGTTGGTCTACCCTGTGGGATTTAGTTCATAAAATATCAACACAGAATAAGACGTGCTTGGCCAGATCCCAGTTCATGTCGCGTCTTGCATTGTGTGTTTGATCTGTTTGGAAGACTTGTCATCTTGACTGTCTAAATTGTCATAGTGATGATGATTTATCAAAGGAGTATGTTTCCATGCAATTTTTAGAAAGTTATGATGAAGCACAAATAATGGTTAGACGTACACGGTTGTTTCTGAGAACTGTAATTTTTCAATCAACTATTAGATAGGAAGACTTCCTGCTGGAGGAGATACATTAAAGAGATTCGAATATTGGGGTTCGAGAACGACAAAAGTTTAATTGAAATAGCAGTTTTCCTTTGTCGGTTGCATTTGCAGTTACAAATAAAATCTTCCCTCATCAACTGAATATAGTAGGAATATAAATTATTGAAAACTAAAAAAAGGATGCCTAGTAATTGGAGAGATGCAGGAATTCAGTACTTCGAATTTCCTCAAATTATGACATATCAAACAGCGTTTTATTTTCTAAATAGATATTAGTAAATTTCGTAAGATGATCATTCAGAAGTTTCTCATATCCCCCCTTTTTTGGGTCACAAGAAGATATAATATTTTAATTCACACAGGGAATGAAAAGCCGACAATTTTTAGGAGACGAATTGGAATGCAACACGTAACGTATCAACATTTGTTTTTTCCAACAAGTATTTGATTTTGAAACCATGGCTCGAGAGTGGTGACGTAAGTCGTTTCTTATGACAGACGTACTGAAGAGGAAAGTAGCTATAAATAGTACATTCAGAGCTGTTGTAATTCATTACACAAGCTGCAAATGCTTCCAATAATACTCTGAAATTCTCTTTTCCACTTTTACTCCAAATTAGGGTCAAAGTCACCTAAATATAGTTAGGTTTATCGTAATGAGTTCCAGCTTTTCTCCATACGTGATTGCTGGGCAGTTTAGAAGTAGCAGGAGTGCCTGATTAGGATAGAATATTAATCATACTGACGTGGTGAAATATTATTCAGGCTGATGGCGGAGCAGGAAGTCAAGCACTCCCATGTTCCGTGGTCGTCCACAATCCCTGTGGAGCAAGGAGAAAATCAATTAGCTAATTTTCAAGTTTCTGGGGTTAGCACAGAGAAACAACCGAACGATATGAATGGAAAGTGTGAACTGGTTTATGATAACGGAAATCAGAATAATAATTTCACTGCTAAAGAGGGACAGTCGTGTGCAGAAAATGAGAAGAGTGATAATGAAAGCTCGAAGGAACTAATACTTGATGAAAATATGACCGACGAACAGAAGAATGATTGTGGTAATAATAGAAAACAAAATAACTTTGGTGGCAACACAAATGATGAAGAAAATAATAAAAACGCTACAAAAGAAAAGACAAACTGTGATGGTAACACAAAAAAATACGAGAAGGCAGAAGAGACTACACAAGAGCAGGTACATTATAGCGATAGTTTAATTAAAAAAAATATTCCTAGAGTGAAATGTCAGAGCGAAAATGGTGGCAATAAACAGATGGAAGACGCTAACACAGAGGTACAGAGAAGCTGCAGGACTGATTCAGAGGAAGAACAAAACGATCCTCCTTGTCTAGAAAGATATAAAGAAGCCCAGACTCGTGCGCGAGACTGTATGATTTGGGACTTGGACCCCATTTGTATTTCAAAGGAAGAATTACCCGTGACGAAGAACATAAGTGACATCACAGAAGGGCATGTAGTCCCATCACCTGTGTGTAGCTCTCTCGATACCGACTCGCACACAAACGTTCCTCATCATCAGATCTTAATTCGTTGTTTAGACGAAGACAGCAACAATGTTCATGAAGATACGTGCCATGTGCCGTTAGCTAACATTAACCAGAAGAAATGTCCAAGTGACTTCCAGATTTCATCTCTTTCAACTCCCCGGCGCAAGTTGAGCCACGTGAACAACGGTAGAAGGAGGAAAAGCGCTATTACCATACGAGTGGACGAAGGATTTTCGGACGTCTCGAGCTTAAAGGAAGACCTACAGTCACTTTACACCAGCGTCAATAGTCGTCACAATAGTATTGTTCCGCAGGTAAGTTGAGTTTTCAAACCAAGGGGAAGGGCAAACATAATTCTAAAATAATCATCAGCTTAATCAAATAAATTACAATGAAAGTTTAGAAGAACCAGTGGCGTAGCTAGAAATTTTTTGAAGAAGGGTGGAGATAAAACATTTGAAATTTTCCAAATACTAGGTACATGAAATAAGTGTCACTAAACTTCTTCAAACACAATAAACATGCACGTACTAGCAACACGTTTCCAGCTGATCTAGGAGTGGGGTGGGGTGAGATATTTAAATTTCCGAGTTGTTGTTTTTTACCATAAAACTCCAAGTAGGGCCAATGCCTCCCCTCTTATATCTATGCCAGTGAAAAGAACCATGCCTCAAGACAAGAATATATAAGGGTTTGTCTATATAGCTGATTTGATTTTCATTAAAAATCTATTGAGTACTTTATCTTATAGGTGCAATATTCATTAAGCTGTCTGTTTTGATACTGGAGTAACTGTAGAATTACTAAATATTTCAGCATAAATAAAGCGTATAAAGAATACAACAAAGAATCTTATCTACTACCTAACCAGGTGCTTGTATCCAACTGTTAGATTATTTGTTTAATCCCAAAAAATATGAAACCAATCTGCGTCGAGACCACGCTATTGTTCTTCGGGTGGTAAGGGTTTGGGATTAATTTTATCGTATACACCAAACGTCTGTCTTTATTTCAGTAGCATATATAGGAAAATAAAGGCCAGTTTCTTCTCCAAAGTGTCTATCTTATAACTGTGCATTTTTATCCGTTAGTAACTTCGTATACTATCAATGGATTAAAGTTACTCAGTGCCGCTATAAGAATTTGGATTTATTGTGAAACGACGACCAATTAAAATAAAGCAGAGTTTCGTTTTCTTATTTAATATTTTAGCCAACAATGTAAACAGCGAAGATCTACAGTTACGTGAAAACTGAAATAATTTTCATGTTATTATAGAAACCTACGTTGTAAATATTGGAGATTATTGTCGGCTTGTTCAATACTTAAGTCTTGTACGTAGGTTTCTTACTATTATACATGTTTTGGGAACTTTGCAGCCTATATTTGCAGGCGAAAGGTTTTTAAAATCGTTAGTTTAACGTGATTATCTCTAGTGTTTGTTAGCAATTGTTTGCAGAGTAAGCTGGAAGTAGCAGGTAACATGCAGAAGTGTTGCTAGGTTACAGAGTTGATACCGTATTAACTGAGTAACATTTATTAGAATATCCTTAAAAATCGTTAGTTTAACGTGTTTGTTATTACTTGTTTACAGAGTGAGATGGAGGTGGCAGGTGACAGGCAGAAACGTTGCCAGATTATAGAGTTGATACTGTGTTAACAGGGTAACTGTTATTATAATATCGCATATTTCAAGTACAGGAAATAATAATTAATTAGCGAAGAAACTGAGTTTCTATCCTACAGTGGCAAATATAGTATAGAATCGGCAATCAGTTTAAAAACTGAGTTTCTATGCTACAGTGGCAAATATAGTATAGAATCGGCAATCAGTTTAA